AACTCTCTACCTCCTTCTCTGACTACTTCTCCATCACTTTTAAAGTTCAGAGCGTATCTCAAGACCCATCTGTTTGTATTATAAAATTCACTGAGGAGCGCTATTGAACATCACGGAATTAGCGCTTTACAAGCTATTTGATTGATTGATTGAACATTCGCCATCAAGCAAGCCGTTGTAAACATTATATAAAATTTTAAAAAATTTTCATGGTATGCCACGATGGTTTAAATTAAATATAATTAATCCAATAATGATAATAAATAACACTGTAAATTTCATTCCTGAACTAAGCAAATTATAGAGGTTTTTTTTATTAATTTATCAAAGTCACGATAAAATAATTTATGATAAAAATCTGTGCTGTGTAATAGCAAAAAATTTTATTTAAAAAACAAAAAAAAATTATAATGTACGTACATAGATACAACATGCATATTCAGATGTAATACATAAATCAAAAAAATAAGGGCCAATTTGTTTTACGCACACACTCAAGATGGATGCAAACCAAATGTGCAGCGTAGGCAGAATAACGTAAAATATTTTTACATTACAAAATCTTTTAAATAGCCATTATAAAGGTAATTTTAAATGCAAATTTTATTAACATCGGTTTACATTACATAATATAGTGTCATTGAACCATTTGAATACAGTATCTAGCTTCATTTTTTTTAATTTTCCTAATTCAAATGAAAAAATTAATATACCAATAAAAAATAAATTTTAAAAACCTAATTTTTTATTTAACTGATGAAAATAAGAAACAACATGGAAGCCAGAAAACTTAGGCTTAACAAGTGTCTTGTGCGCTTTGTTGAATCCTCTGAACTTTGAAAGAGTGTAATTGACCTTTAACCTTTTTAACCTTTCTGTAATTTTGAGTAATGTTTCATTATAAATTCATAATAAAAATGAAACGTAGAACAATAAAATTTAAATTTACTTAACTATCATATTTATTATTTTTTATACTGGAGCATGTAATAAACTGTCGTTTAAGTAAGAGCCATTGAACATTTCGAAAATCTCAACACATAGAATTACCTTGATAAAAACTTAAACAATCCAAAAGTAGTAGAATAGAAGTTTGGAAAAAACAAAATAGAAAAAATAAATTAAGACTTTAACAAATAAATTGAAACTTAAACCAAAAGTAGTAGAAGAGAGGTTTGCAAAAAACAACAATATAAAAAAAATAAATTAAGATTATTTCACACCAAACTAACAAATCAAAAGTTATTTCAAAAAGATCAACAACCTATATGCAACTATCAAAATTAACGGTATCCCACATCGTCTTCAAATGTTGTTTGTTTGTTTGAATGATCGTTTAACGGCAGATTCAAGCAGCACGGTTATCGGCTATCTTTTCGCCACTTTCGATTCTTAAATGTTTGTTAATGTTTGTTGATGTTTTTGTTGTCGGCAGTTTGAAGACGGCTTTTTTTGAAAATCCAAGAGTGTGTTTTATTTGGCGTCCTATTTTTATTCTGTTTATTAATATTTTAGTTTGGAAAAATCTGTTCATTAATTAATTTTTTGTTTGCATTTTCGGTAATTTTGTTGTGGTTAGATGATTAAAGTTGTTGTACTCCTTCCATTTCTTGGTGATGTGGTGCTCTGAAAATTGTTTAATATCGTTATATGGCAAATGAGTCGAGAATGAGTGGGCCACTGTAACAATATACGACAGCCAAAAAATATTAAACGAAATTCCTACCAATAAGCCAACAATTTTTGACAACTCTAACAAAGTGGAAAACTTATTAAAAATTTTTTTAAATTCAAATTTATTGAAAAACTTGTGAAAAATGAAAACAATAAAAATATTGAGCGCAAATAGCCTGAATTATGTTGATATCTCGAAGAATCCAAAAACATTTTGAATGAAATAGAAAAATTTTAATTTATAATCATGTTAAATTTGTATAGTTACTTGCTAGATGAATTGTACAAAGCAAGTCAGTTACTACGAACTCCCTAAATTAGTTTAGACGTATGCAGAAAACTGAAATTGTTGAACAAAAGTGTAAATGCATACGAGCACCAGTTCAATGCATCAGTGTCAGTAATCAAATATAACGGAAGATTTTTATAAACATGATGTAAAAATGCATTAATAGGGAGGTATTATTTTAAATCTTACGTAGGTGCGTGCGTACATATTACATGAAGAAATACATACAGCACATGAACGCAAAGTTTTTTTAACAATATCTTATTTATTTGTTCCAGCTTTTGGTGAGTTAATATTCGGTCATGGATTGAAATGGTTACAGAGCGTAGTTACCTGTTAATGCAACCAGTGTGTTGAGTTGCAGCGGTCATCCTGCCGGCGCATGGGCATCTACGATCCAAAGTTTTAAAAAGTGTATTTATTTTTTAGTGCTTAAATTTCTATTATCAGGCACGGTGAAGCGCTAATGCACGCGCGTGTGCATTGTTTTGTACAGGGCTTCGAACCGGAACAGAACCGAAACCGAAAACCGGAAAAAACCGATATTTTAGCCAAAACGAAACTCGAAACTGAACCGAAATATTTTTTGCTTGCCGAACCGAAACCGAAAAAAATAACGTTCCGGTTCGAAGCCGTTAATATATTTTTTATAACGAGCACTTTTATAAATAATTTTTCAAAAGTCTTTGTTATTTTTCAATGTTTGTATAATATCTTTGATCATTTGTAATCTTCTATTTTTTTTCATCTGTTTTAGTCATTGTATATAAATATATACTTTTGTCTTCTGAGAAATGTTATGCATTTTTATACTTTGTTTCCATTTGCTGGCTAAAAAAATATTTCAACACATTTTTTTGTATATTTAGAAACTTAAAAAATTCATGACTAATAGTTTCTCAATGAGTTGAAATTTAATTAACAATGATATGTCAATAACTAGAATATCCGATACACGCGATACCGGCAACATTTACAAAAACGCAATTAAATATAATTAATTAAATATATTTGCCCGCAAATTTGTTAGCGCGCTCCACCACGTAATGTCAAAGAAATTCACTTTTCATTTCTTGTCTGGAAGATAATTAATTTTTTTCGCTAAGTTTCGGGATTATCGCATTCAGAATTATTTGTTACGGAATTTTTAATTTAAATTTTTTTTATTAAAATTGAAAATTAATTTGGCTTCTTTTCAATAATTTTAAATCATTTTATAAGTGTTCTTTACTTTGCTTTACAAATTTGCGCCAGTAGGATTGTGATGACCATTTACAAAATTTAATAACTTTGATGGGCAAAAACGTTTCCCGGAACTGAATCGATAACCGGAACCGAACCGAAATTTTATCTGGAACGAAAACCGGAACTGAACCGAAATATATTTTGTTAGTCGAACCGAAACCGAAAACCGGAACGAAAAAAATTACGGTTCGAAGCCCTGGTTTTGTAATAACCACTCCTACCATTTATTTCTTTAAACTGTCTTTGCAATAATAAATGTTTGCATTGTACGGCTCAATATATTATTTTTAACGTATAAAAATTATAAAAACAAAATAATTTTTAGATTTTATAAAAAAAATTTGTTAGTAGCTACGTTTACTCGAATGAATACCATAACATTCACGTTATACATATTAATATAAAGGTAAATTCCAAAGTACATTTTGACTATCCAGCCAACGACATAAGACCGGAACCCAATATAGCCGATGTTGGATAGTGAACTGGCCGGAGCAGAACTTCGTGCAACATTGCTTGGAAATATTCATACAAGCTGTACCCGCACGATCTCGCACGTGTTTGTTATTCAAAAAAAAACCTTTTATTACACGTGAGTCAGAATAATATTTAATATGTTTTTAAATTAAATATCATTAAATTATTAAAATCGAGCTCTTCGTTAAACGGGGACCTCTGCGCTCTCAAGTACCGTAAACGAATACCTACACGATCGCAAGCCCTATCTTTAATTCCCTTAGTTGTATCTTAAAACAGAAAAGGGTTTTTATAAAATTAAATCTCGTAACAGCTACTTTCGAGGTATCTATTTGTAATTTAAAGTCGTTAAATTTTGCACAACATAATTTCGCTATATCTGTAAATTTGTGGTCATACTTTCGTACATTGCCAAACTTTTAATTGAATCAAACTTCCATTTTGTTTACTTTTACATTTCTACTTTTTAGGCTGATAGTTTATGTAGGTAATATATAATATAATCGTGAACGCCAGAAATTTTAAATGGTAATTACTGAGTATCATTTACGAAACAGCAATTTTTTCAATAATAGAAGGGAAAATGTAAAAAAGAATTAGTTGAGTTGAGTTTAAAAATAATATTTGAAAAAAGATTTCGTGATCATGATGCTTTTATTTCATAATTCTTCGTAGAGTTTCGTCTTTTTTAAATAACTTATCCGCATCGTCTTGAAACAATAACGAACTGCAGATGCTTCCTGATCAAATTAATTAAAAACTTCGATCTATCATAAATCGCGAGAATACAAATAGCATTAATAAATCTTATTAGCCTCCCAACATCAAACAGAATATCTGAAGAGCCGTTATTCCATCTGCTTTTTGAACTAAAACAAAAGCTTAAATACTTGTAAAATAATATAAAATAATATGTAAAATAATATAAAAAATTATATTATATATATACACACAAAATATATGAAATATATATATATATATATATATTATATATACGTAAAAGATTAACTTACTGCATTTATATGCTGTGTGTACGCGAATGTGTGCCTGTGCATCGTACACCAAAAAAATAGACTGTTATTTTGAAGCGAAACAATTTTCAACCATAAGATTATATTCATTCCTAAAACGTATATCAGAGATGCTAATTGTATAGAATCTTGTATAGAAATATGCATATTCAGTATATATCATATATCGAGTAATTGTTTACATTTTTAGATGTACAGATCGAGGATGATATTGAGTATATAAAATGTATTTATATCATACGTATGTACCCGCTATCTATATAATATTCAGTTAAGCAACATAGGAGAAGCGATGCAAGGAATTTCACACGATTATTTGTCGGTTTATTTTAAGCATAACAGAATTTTGCTTCCATACTTATTTCGAATTTTAAACATTACAAAACAGTACTCTTTAATTTCAAATTACAGCAATGAGTCGCAATGCTTCGTCCGATAGGGTTGCCATCAGGTCCAAGGTAAAAACAATTTTTTATACTTAATTTCATTTATTCAATATTAAATGAAAAATAGGTAGCGGCCAAATATGACAAAACTGCCGAAACTGAAGTTTTGACCTGGTTTGAAAAATTAATAGACGTCAAGTTAGAACCTGGTACTCACAAACTGGAAAAACAATTGAGGAATGGACAACATCTAGTACAGTCAGTTTACTATAAAAATACTTAATTTAAATCTTATTTGTTCATTCATCAAATTTTCAATGCCTATAAAATAATGCGTAGAATCAATCAATCAACGATCAAATTAAATGCGTGGAGAGGTTTGAATCCTTGCTTCGAATCAGATAAACATGCATTAAGTCACACAGTCGTATCAATTTCTAAATAATGAATATACCGAATTCTGTTGCCACACCACAAAGTAGTTATTTTTTATTAGAACAATTACTGGTGACTAGATTTATGCTATTCAAGCAAAATTTCTGTTCAATACTGCGTTAATGATAAACAAGTTATAAAAACTTATTTCGATTGAATTACACACAAGAATAGAAATATAAAAACACGTGCGACGTGTATTGTACACACACACACACACACACACATATATATATATATATATACATTAAAAACATCACTGCATTTTCAGCTTTGTTCAGTTTCTGTTTATAAAATATAACCAATAGTTTTTAACATGCTACATTGAAAATAGTAAAGAATTACCAAAAAAAGCTTTATCTGCCTCAATTATATCTTAATTACTTTCATATTACCAGGCATTAAAACCATACACTGTGCTTGAGAAATTTCTTTCAAAATGTGGTAGCCTACGTTTTTATTATAACGTACATTTTGATGTACATCAGTTTTTGTTTGTAATTAAAAATATTAATAGAAATCGACAAAAAGAGTTTAATTCAGTTATTATCGAAATCAAGTTGATCAGGATATTTATAGGGGTGTATATAATGTACATAACTTTGGGGTTAGTTCAGTGGGTAAAAGTGCTGTTATTATCAGGTGCCGAAAGTAAAGACGATGCCATGCGTGTCAGACGAGGTGTTAGCACATGTATACGAAATACGTGTGTATGTCGTGTGTAGATAGTACAGCCTTTGTGGCACATAAGTTCAACTGTAAGTAAATAATATTACCATGTAAGCAGTCTGTCAAAGCTGCATAACAAAACAAATCTTTAAAAAAAACCTTCAATTTAAAGATTAACAAGGTTAATTCATTAGGTGACTGATATGGATGCAATATGACAGTTATATGGTGGGTATGATTAGCGTAGGCAAACTAATGAAGCCATAGCCACAAGTTATAGCACGAAATCTGGTCGAATTTGGATGTCAAATTTGGTGCGGCCCTTATATGAACAAACAAATGCATTTTCCATAATAGACTTTGTATAATTAATTAATTGGTTAAAATAGATTATTCAGAGTTTATGGATTTATTAATACTGAAATTAAGACGTATTTGATACGATATTTGATAAGACGTATAAATTAAGACGTAATTAAGACGTATAATTTCAATACCTATCTAATCAATCAATCAATCTTCGTTTTGCGTCCAGAGACCCGGTTTCCCGAGGTAGGACGTTGTTTTCTTTGACGTATAAAGACGTATAAATTAAGACGTAATTAAGACGTATAATTTCAATACCTATCTAATCAATCAATCAATCTTCGTTTTGCGTCCAGAGACCCGGTTTCCCGAGGTAGGACGTTGTTTTCTTTGCCATCAACTTTTTGCGCCAAATTAGACGATCAGTTGTATCCAATTCCTTTAAATTTAGAGCTTTCATGTCTTGCTCGATTGTTTGCGACCAGGACTTCTTTGGACGGCCTTTGGGACGTGTGCCAGGTACTTCAACATCTGCAAGAGAAGTTATGGCACTGTTTCCACTTCGTTTGACATGACCAAACCACCGCAGACGGTGTTGCTGGCATTCGTCCTTTATATCATCTAAACCAGCACGACGCAGGATTTCGGTAGATTTGATGTGGTCCTTCAGACTAATTCGTTGAATCCATCGGAGCATTTTCATGTCGGTTCGTTGAAGTTGTTGTTCCAGTTTGGTTGTCATTGGCCATGTTTCTGCACCATATAACAACACCGGACGTATCTCAGATTTATAAAGTCTTGATCGTAGTGGTAGTGGGATGTCACGCCACATCAATATAGAGGCAAGGAGATGCCATTTATTCCAGGCTGCACGTATCTGTGCTCGAACGGCAGCTTCAGCTGTTCCAGTAAAATCCAGAACATCCCCTAGATATTGAAACGATGTGACTTTCTCTACCTTAATTGCTTCAAAAACATTGCTATTTCGAATTTGTTGTTGTGGATTGATGCAAGCAGGACAAACAAAATTGGACACTTTAGATAAAGTACCAATTATTTTTGAACAACGTTTGTGACACCACTGGTTACACTGCTGACACTTGATTGAATTGTTACCTACACTAGCTTTACAAACTAAACAGGGCCATCGTCCAGTAGCTGTGGATTGGATGGGTTCACCAGTGTTCATTGCTTTGGTTTTGCTGATGTTGACTTTGAATTCATGATCGGCGAGTCTGGTGTTCCAATCTTCAAACATCTGTGCTGCATTCTGCTCAGACGTGGCTGTTGAAACGATATCATCAGCATATACTAGATTCCAAATGTCACCAGTGCGTATCGGTTTTGTGATTTCTTCCATTACAGTTATAAATAACGGTGGACTGAGAATCGAGCCTTGAACTCCAACGCCGATGTCAAATGCATGTGTTTCCAACCGTTGTGCTGACAAGAGTCTTAGTATTCGTATACATTTCCATCACAAGTCGAACAAGATATTCTGGAATGAGTTGTCGACGTAGACTCCATCTGATTGCTTCACGGGGAACTCGATCAATTGCTTTTTCAAGGTCTACAAAAATGTGTGATAGTTGTTGATGCTTTGCGAGATACTTCTCTTGCAGTTGCCGAAGGATGTGAATAGCATCAATTGTTGATTTCCCCGCTAGAAAACCAAATTGATAATTTCCGATTGTGATGCAGGACGTTAATCTTCTCTCAATAATATTCTCGACAATTTTCAGGGAGTGTTCTAACAGACGTATACCCCGATATGATGAACAGTTCAATGCATCACCTTTGCCAGTGATGTCCGAAATCGGACCTTCGATGGGTGGAGCGTCAAAGTTAACATTGATGGGATTTGTTTCGTTTAACAGACGGTTGAAGTATTCTCTCCACTGTAGCTTGATCTCATCTTGTTCAAGAACCATCTCATTTTTGTCATTTTTAATACATGAGGCACCAACTATGTCTTTTTTCGTACGTTTTGCTTGTTTTGCTATACGATACAGAAATTTCATTTGTTCACCTTTGCTTTTAGTGAGCCACTCTCTGCACTGATCTGTCTGAGCCAGTGCAACTTGACGTCTTGCATAGTTGTTCTTCTCACGGAAAATTTTATGGTCATCAACAGACTTTGATTTTTGCCATTGCTTGTATGCAACTTTCTTTTCAGCTATTGCATTTTGTGCACTGTCATTCCACCACAGTGTCACGTTCATTTTTAATACCTATCTGTCGAATGTTTTTCACGGTATTAAAACAGTGACGCGTTTTGCAGACTTTCACCGCAAGAATTTTATTGAGTAAATTGGTGATAACTGCAAAGATAGTCGTGGAATTATACATCAATAACTGAAATCGCACTGCAGTATCCTTTCCATTATAAATTTTACTGCAAACAAGAGCATCATTATCGACAAACATTCTCGCAAGAAACCTCGTTAACTACAATACAAATACAAAGAAATCAAGTGAACGCTAGGTCAACGACCTAGTTCCAGTAGAAGTACCGTAGTTAAATTTCTGTAGATTAAATTTGACTAGAATTAACCTAATAAATTAATCTAATTAAAATAGCAAAAATAGAAAAAAATAGTGATCCATTCCGCCACAAATTTGTTATATATTAATCAAGGTGTCACTCGTCAATAACTTTCAATTATAACACTTCAGATTAGCTCAAAAAATTCAAAGTGACACATTAAACTGCCCTGAAAAAGCCAGAAAAATGGTATTGAAATTCAACACAGACAATATGCCTTTCAAACAAGTTTGTCAAACTTCAACGTAAAAATCAAAATTTAAACATTCGACTGATTTTATTTCATAAAAATTAAAACATTCAACTAAATCTATTATTCAGATGGAAAACATACAAACATTCCTTGCATTTTGTGAGAATTATGGAGTTCCAAAAATGGGAATATTTCACCCGAAAGATTTGTATGAAGGAAGAAATCTGTCGCAGGTTTTAAGCTGCATCCAACAACTGGGAAGCGAGGTAAGTGAAATTTTGACGAATTTGATGAACAATTTGATGAATAATTGACAATTAACACAAAACAAATTTATTTTCAAACAAAATAGTGCCAAAGAAATGGATTTTCGGGACCTTGCATTGGACCAAAGCCACTGGAAAAAAACATCAGAGAATTCTCAGAAGAAAAGTTGAGAGCAGGAAACGCAATCATAGGAATGCAGGCCGGATCGCACAAGGGGGCCTCGCAATCTGGCATGCATACAGGAGCCAGGCTGATAGTTGACTCAAGAACTGAAGTGCAAAAAGATAGTGCTGCTACTTCATCTTCCACTAAAAGTACAATCGAGAATGGAGATGCAGATGAAAAAAAACCAAAACCAATGAAAAAACCAAGCGCTACTGTGAATAAAGATAACCTGAATGGTGATGAGAAAGTGGATGAAAACGGGAAAGTTGATGATACCAACGATAATAGAGATAACGGTGACGATGATAATGAAAGAAAAAAGACAGAAATGGAACAAGAAAGTGAGAATTCTGAAGATGAAGAAAATGAAGACATGCAAAAAGATAAAGATGAAGAAATTGAAATTAAACAAACAAAAGAATTTGTCTATGATGAATCGAAACCAGCTGATGAAAAAATTAAAGAAAGAACATGGAGGAAGAACAAATGAAAATCAAATTGATTTTTAAAAAACAAAATTTTTTATATTTCTGTAAATAATCAAATAAACTTTTGAAAATAAACTATGTACATATTATTTGTAAAAACGGTGTGATATTTAAAAGCAAATAGCTTGTTCAGTTCTTTAATGGAAGGATATTACACCTAAACATGTGAGAAAAAATAATATGTTATGTAATGATTTTAAACTTGAAAAAAAAATTGTATTAACCCTAAGAGTCCTGGTCCATGCCACTCACTTGGTTTTACACACAATCGTAATGGTTGGTAATTTCTTGAAACCACAAAATGCAGTGATTGCTACAAAATGGAACATTACAAATGCTACATAGACGAATATTAAAAACCTCCATCATAAAATAATCTGGATTGAAACTGACGTTTACAAATTAAAAAACTAGGGATAAAAAAAAATCAAAAATCTATTAACCAAATTATCAGCATAAACTCCTTATTGTACATTCTTATGCGTAATCACTTATAATTGAATATGATCAACCTAAAAATATAAGCGTAATATCTATTAACCCCTTTGTTGTGTTGAACAATTTTTGCAAAATCCTGTAAGTTACGGAAATTTTTAACATTGAGCGATCCAAACTGGAGTAAGAGATCACCAGATTTCAAACCCTTCAAAAAAATATTGCAATGAAATTCACATCAGACAGGCAGTAAGAATAACGTGCTAACGGCCACATCAGCCGGAGAACCAGCTTCAACTTTTCCAACGGATGCAAAAGGTGTCGAGCAATTTTTATTTTTTTCATCATCAACCACACCTAGCTGTTTCAAATCAGTTACGATGCTGTGGCTAGTTTTTGTTGATTGATGGTGTAACTTGTGCAGCTGAGTTTCAATCTCCTTCATTATTGCCTTGTGATCATTTTGTAAGCCTGTAAGCAAAAAGATGTTAGTTATACTACTGAAAGCATAAGAAATAAATATTATTGAACCCACAAATGATTTTTTGTCTGGCATTACGAACAGTAATTATGTCGATGTCATTGCGGGGAAACTGTTCGTTGTCCACAAGAGATTCTGTCATTCCAATATCTTTTTGCTGTTTAAAATATAGATGTTTGAATAGATTCATCATTTAAACGTATAATCTTGAATGAAAATAGTAGATAAACTAAAGCATCGAAACATTTTTGTGAAATTATATGTTCATTTTGTTGTAAAACAAAATCAAATCGTATTACAAATAATATTATTAATTCCTTATAAAATAACTCTCAGAAGTAAACCATAACAATACATAACAAAAATCTTTATTTTTAATATTATTCTTTAAAAAAAATAGAATTTGACAAACGCAGAAACTGTTAGAGCATGCAAGGTTAAGTAATAGTATAAAATGAAAACGGAAAATAAATAACGGCGAAAAAATGTTTAAGCATGAAAAGTATAAAAAATGAAATAAAGTAATGGTTTAAAAAGACAAATAAATAAAATAATTCATTAATAGACTAGTTAACGACTTAGTAAGTTAGTTAAGTGATTGGTAAGAAAAAAGGATAGACTAGATTGAGTAAATGACAAGGTGCTAATATATTTAAGGTGCTACATATACAACTTATCAATTAGAACACCGAAGATGGCATAGGAATACCAAAAAAAGCTTTTATGTTTTATCATGCATAAAGTATACAAATATTAAAATTTTAGTTATGAACTCAAGAAACTTGAGAATGATTTCAACCGTTAGAAAAATCGAAAAGTTAAACGCGAAGTTAACTAACGCCCACCATGCTGTGATTTTCATCAATAATTGCATTTCTTTAAGGTGTTAATCCAATATATATATATATATATATATATATATATATATATATATATATATGCATATATATATAGATATATATATGTGTGTATATATATATATATATATTGTCGTATATATATATATATATATATATATATATATATATGCATATATATCGTGCATCACATTCGGAAATTATCAATTTGGTTTCCTAACGGGGAAATCAACAATTGATGCTATTCACATCCTTCGGCAACTGCAAGAGAAGTACCTCGCAAAGCATTGACCTTGAAAAAGCATTTGATCGAGTTCCCCGTGAAGCAATCAGGTGGAAATACGTCGACAACTCATTCCAGAATATCTTGTTTGACTTGTGATGGAAATGTATACAAATACTAAGACTCTTGTCAGCACAACAGTTGGAAACACAGATGCATTTGACATCGGCGTTGGAGTTCACCAAGGCTCGATTCTCAGTCCACTGTTATTTATAACTGTGATGGAAGAAATCACAAAACCGATACGTACTGGTGACATTTGGAATCTAGTATATGCTGATGATGAATGCAGCACAGATATTTGAAAATTGGAACACCAGACTCGCCGATCATGGATTCAAAGTCAACATCAGCAAAACCAAAGCAATGAACACTGGTGAACCCATCCAATCCACAGCTACTGGACGATGGCCCTGTTCAGTTTGTAAAGCTGGTGTGGGTAACAATTCAATCAAGTGTCAGCAGTGTAACCAGTGGTGTCACAAACGTTGTTCAAAAATAACTGGTACTTTATCTAAAGTGCCCAATTTTGTTTGTCCTGCTTGCATCAATCCCCTACCAGGCATAACAACACAACAACAAATTCGAAATAGCAATGTTTTTGAAGCAATTAAGGTAGAGAAAGTCACATCGTTTCTATATCTAGGGGATGTTCTGGATTGTACTGGAACAGCTAATTGTATTATATATTTATATATTTGTAGTGGCGTCTAAAGTTAATTTGTCGGTCAGTTAGATTTTATATTTTCTGATAAATAACATAAATTTCAAAATGAAGTGTTTATTTCAAATATTGTTGAATTTTACACTTCTGACGATATTAATGATGCGTTAAAAACTATAAAAAAATGACTTATAATTGGTTAAAAATGAAAAGTTTGCAAATTTGGAAATAAATTCTGTGAAAAGCAACAAAAAAGAGGACAAAATGCTTGATAATGTTATAATTATTTTGCAGTTAAACAGAAATAATTTATTGTAATTTCTACCAATATACGTTAATGTTATTTTTTCCAAAATTTCCAGAATGGAAAATATATTAAATGTAAATTTTAATAAAATTAAATTAGAAATTAAAGAAATATTGTACAAGCAAGAGTTGCACATAGCAAAACTAATAGAAAACATGAATGTTAACTATCTGCCAGCAAACCGACCAGAGCACCTGAATGCCATACGCTGGAAACTGTCCCACCAACTAAACAAACTAAACAAAAGCATATCATTGACAGCATGGTCAACAACAACAATTTCATCAGCAACAACAGCGGCGACAACAACAGTACTCTATGGGCAGATGTTGTGAGAACTCCAACTGAAAATATCAACCAACCCTTCACAGTTGGTTGAACGAAGTAACGTCATTAATAAAAACATCATGAAATCTGTAAAAGAGAATGTGATGAAAAAAACCAGTTAGAAAAATAATTAGTAACAAAAAATGACGAACTATGCAAAATCAAAGCCAATAAAACGCTCATAAAAAATCATTTTTTTTTAATGAGCAATGTTCAAAAGTGCCACAGAAATGATGTTATAGATATAGAATATTTAAAATCCATTGATATAAATGTCATTTTATGATTTCCAGTCCTGAAACGCATAGATTCTCCCACCAACAAGAATCCAAACAACGATGACTGTGAGTCAACGATGTTCAGAGTATGCGTTAAAGTAGTGAGGCTGTTAAGATGAAAAATCCGGACGTTATTCTGCAACATATCATCGTCAGAGAATGGATGTTCAATCCCAAAAAAAGCGATGACAAAAACAACAGCAAACATGAAGAATTTTAACTCAACATGAAAAATGATGAACAATGGCTAATTTATTTTCATCTGATAGATGCCGCCTGACAATAATGATGTTAAACCAAGTCGGCTTGATGATGTTGATCCTGATAGTAATTTGTTGAATGATTTAAATAATGTGGGTTCTTTTTACTTCCTGATGAGGTTTAATGCATTTATTGATCCGAATTCTTTTTCTGTTTTTCACATTAACATTCGAAGTATGTTTAACAAAATGACTGAGTTGAATGTTTTGATTGATTCTTGTGCAGGTAATTTTGATTTGGTAGCTGTGAGTGAAACTTGGTTATGTGATCAGACCGTTAATTTAATTAATTTGCTTAATTTTAATTTTGTAACTAAAAATCGAATAGGTAGCCTAGGTGGTGGTGTTGGTTTATTTATTAAAAGTCATTAAATTATATTGTTCGGGATGATTTATCTTATTCTCCAAATTTTGAGTTATTAATAGTTGAAGTGTTTTCAAATATTAACTGTAATCATTTGTTTATTGATATGTATCGTCCTCCTTCTACTGATGTTAATTCATTATTGAATGATATAAAATCTTTACTCTTAAATACTAATCCTGGTTTATTTAATGTATTTACATTATTGGTGACTTCAACATTAACTTATTTTGTGATGGTTATAAACTTATTTCCACCCTATTCATCAATTCTTTAAGCTTCTTTGGTTTTAATTCTTTGATTACGACTGCAGCACGTGTTACTACTACTTATTTCATCTTTGTTAGACAACATTTTCACTTACAACATTTCTGTCCATAAATTTGGTGTTATTTTTCCTTCCATGTCAGACCATCTTACTATATTCACTTCTTTTCATTCTCCAGTTATTATTATATCCAATTATATAATCCGTCATTAAATTAGAATTTTTATAACATTGATAAACTAAATTTATTACTCATGTATTATGATTGAAGTTTAGTCTTGAATTCTTTTCAGGCCGATGAAGCTTTTGAATTATTTATTGACATCATAAAAAATGCTGTCATTAAAAGCTGTAGTATCTCTTGGAAAAAAACTATCAAAAAAAGCCTTGGATCACAAAGGGTTTAATTACTTCATCGGCAACAAAAAATAAATTATATAAAAATTACTTAAGTTCAGGCTCGCCATTGGATAGATTGGTATACGGTAAATATAAAAACATTTTTCTAAAGTTATGTAAATTATCCAAATTTTCTTATTTTAACAACCAATTCACTAAATGCAAATCAAACAGTAGACCAACCTGGGACCTTCTTAAAATCATGTTTAGGGTTCAAGCATTCATCACCTCTTAATATTGTTGTCAATATTAAGGGGTGATGAATATAAAGAGGAATAAAAAAATATGAAGAGGTTATAAGTTGATTTTTTAATATGTAATCATTTTAATAATCATTTTTTTGTCTTTAAATAATCAAAATGTATTGAAATTCATCTGATCATAGATGTAACTTTAAAAATTTTTTTTTCTTCTAGTATCTCAAATTCTTTTGTTTTGTTTGAATGTCTACCATTTAAAATTATTGATGTTGTAAAAAATTTTGATAACTCATATAGCTGTGGTAATGATTTATAATATTATTTATTTAAATCAATATGACATTAAACTGACCCTCACTGCCTTGTGAGTGATGTTGGATCATCAAAGGCTAGGCCCACCACTTATAACTGTGGTTGCGTAAGGAAGGGCGTCCTGCGTAAAAACTAGCCAAAAAATAATACTTATAATGACTGAAATAACAATGGCCCTCAGTATCCGGCAGAAGAGGGTGCGAAGAATCTCCGGAGACCCAGTCCATGGGGTTGTGGTGCAAGGCCCTGTGGATGGTCTGGCTACTGGCACCCCACTCTATAGTGTGGCGGTGCAAGGCACTATAGATGGAAGGACTACTTGTTGACCAAGGGGTTGGAGGTTTGGTACCTGGAATGTAGGCACGTTGACAGGAAGAAGTTTGGAAGTGGTGGAGGAGCTGCAGAGGAGAATGGTTGACGTGGCTGCATTACAGGAGATCAGATGGAAGGGTGAATGTACAAGGTTTGTGGGGGCTAAAGGTGGAAGATATAAGTTGTGGTGGAAGGGGGATGATGGTACGGGAGGAGTTGGTGTGATGGTAAGAGAAGAGTTGGTGGAGAAGGTGTTGGAAGTAAGGCGGAGAAGCAATGGTGTAATTGTGGTGGTGATGGTGTTTGGAAAAGTAATAGTGAGGGTGATATCAGGATATGCTCCGCAACAAAGTAGGAAGGAAGAGGAGAAGGATAGGTTTTATGATGATGTTTCTGACGAGATTGGGCAAGCGGGGTTGAATGAGTTTGTGGTGTTGTTGGGTGATTTGAATGGTCATGTGGGGGCGGATGCAGACGGATATGAAGGTGTACATGGGGGATGGGGATATGGTATACGGAATGAGGAAGGGCGTAGAGTGTTGGAGTTGGCGGATGCACATAGCATGGTGGTGGGGAATACTTGGTTCACAATGGAACCAGCGCGATTGATTACTTATAGGTCAGGGGAACATAGATCGATGATAGACTATATATTGGTAAGGGCCAAACATAGGAAGTATGTGAAGAATGTGAAGGTGATACCTGGTATGTTGCAGCATAGTATAGTTGTGATGGATGTGACATCAAAAGAAATGGGGAGGAGGAAGAAGGATAAGTTTGTGGCAAAAAGAAAGACATGGAAGTTGCAGGATGCAGAGGTGAGGAAGGCATTTGAAGTGAAGGTGGCTGAAAATTGGGAGAGTGGTAAGGATGGAGATGTTTGGGGGAGATACAGGGACTGTGTGTTGGCTACGGCAGATAAAGTATGTGGATGGACGAAAGGAAAGTGCAGGCATGGTGAGACGTGGTGGTGGGATGAAGATATAAGAAGGGTTTTGGAAGTCAAGAAGGAGAGGTTTAGGGAGAAGGGACATGAAGGAGGAAGCGGAGTCTGAGTATAGGAAGGCTAAGAAGGTTGCAAAACAGGCAGTGGCAACTGCAATGACGAAAGCATCAGATAGGTTAATGAAGGAAATGGAATTTGATGTGAGTTCGAGGAAAATGTTCAAAGTAGCAAAGCAGTCAATGAGGGATAGGAAAGATGTTATAAGAAATGGATGTGTTTGGGATGGATCTGGCAAGTTGTGCATAGATGAGGAGGAAAAAGCTCAGGTGTGGAAAGCTCATATGGAAAGGTTGATGAATGAAGAGAATGAGTGGGATGGAGATGTGGAATCCGCGGTCACACACGAACCTACAGAAAAGGTGACGATGGAGAAAGTAGAGAAAGCAGTTAGAGAAATGAAACTAGGTAAGGCGACAGGGGTTTCGGAAGTGGCGGCAGAACATATAAAAGCGAGTGGGGTGATAGGAATTGAAGTTATGATGAGAATTGCTAACAGTATGTTTGATGATGAAGGTATACCTGAGGATTGGCGACATAGTGTGTTGGTGCCGTTGTATAAGGGCAAAGGAGATGTGAGAGATTGTGGGTTATATAGGGGTGTGAAATTACTAGAGCACGGAATGAAGGTAGTGGAGAGGGTGCTTGAGAGGAGGTTGAGAAGTATGATGACAGTTAATGAAATGCAGTGTGGGTTTATGCCTGGTAGGGGAACGGTGGATGTGCTGTTCATGGTGAGAATGTTGCAGGAAAATTATAGAAAGAAGAAACGAAGATTGTACATGTGTTTTGTGGATCTAGAAAAGGCTTTTGATCGAGTACCGAGAAAGGTCATTGAATGGGCGTTGAGGAAGAAAGGAGTGAATGAGAGACTTGTTAAAGCTGTGATGCAGCTGTATGAAGGGGCAAAAACAAAGGTGAGGGTTGGAAGGGGGATGTCGGACGCTTTTAGTGTTAAGGTAGGAGTGCATCAAGGATCAGTGTTATCACCGTTTCTGTTTGCAATTGTGATGGATGTTGTGTGTGGAAACATAATGGAGGGGTTGTTATTTGAGATTTTGTATGCAGATGATTTAGTCTTGATGGCTGATAGCATGGAAGAATTGCAGTTAAAATTTGACAGATGGAAAAGTGTTATTGAAAAGAAAGGGTTAAAAGTTAATATTGGTAAGACGAAGGTAATGGTGAGTGGGGAAGGTGGGGAGCGAGTGATAAGTAAAATAGGCCCCTATGGGGTATGTGACAGGAGAGTGAAGGCTAACTCGGTATTGTGTATAGGATGTCAGAAATGGGTGCATAAGAAATGTAGTGGTGTGAGGGGGGCACTGAAAAAAGTGGAAGGCACGTTCAAATGTAAGAAATGTGTTCATGGTGTGATTAATAGGACGGACGCAAGGACGGGGTTGAGTGGTGGTATTGAAAGAGTGAAAAGCTTTGTTTACTTGGGGGATAAACTGAATGCGGAGGGAGGATGTTTGAGCGCAGTTACGGCTAGAGTTCGTGTGGGATGGATGAAATTTATGGAACTGGGTGGGGTATTGTGTGGAAAGAAATGGTCAGTGAAGATGAAAGGGAGGGTATATAAAGCATGTGTGAGAGCAGCGATGGTATATGGTGGTGAAACTTGGGTGTTGAGGAGAGAGGAGGAAAGTGTACTGCAGAGGGCTGAAAGAGCTATGGTGAGGATGATGTGAGGGGTTAAAGTGAAGGATAGGAGGAGTAGTACAGAGCTGATGTCAATGATGGGACTGAATGAGGACATTGTGACATTGATAAGGAGATCGAAATTGCAGTGGTATGGACATGTGTTGAGAAGGGATGAAAGGGTCGGGATTAGGCGAGCGTTGGAGTTTGAGGTTGAAGGAGTGGTAGGAAGGGGTCGTCCGCGATTGGGATGGAGAGAGCAGGGGGAGAAGGACAGGGTGAAAGCGGGGTTGCGTGATACTGAGGCAAGTGACAGATGTGGATGGCGTCGAGGGGTATTTCGGTTTCATCATAGGTAGCCAAACGGCAACCCCCGATCTCGGGGAAAATGCCGTCTAAACGTGTGTTGTTAAATCAATATGGTTTCCGTGATAAATTGTCAACTGAGTATACTGTTTCAGACGTTTATTTGCTAATGACACTACTCTTCTTTATTCTCATTAGGATTTTAAGATAGATACACCCATTCCAAGTGATAACAATGCATCAAAAGATTTACCTGATACCAGATCATGCGGTGGTTTGCTTTTCACCTGTTCCAGTTCAGTTGCAGGATAGTTGAAATCTCGCACACTCCAGTCAAAATCTACTGCAGTCATTGGTTCCACTATAAACTGCTTCTCAGCATTTGAAACCTTATTCGAGAACAATGACAGCCATTTGGTACCGAGATATCACAGATGATTCTTAAACTTTTTTGTGGCAGCACTTGCAGCATTCTTGTTGATTTCAGAGTATTGTTCAATTCTGCTCAGAAGTTGCAGGTCCTTGACCGGTGCATCACTGGGTATTGGGCACAACATCCATGCTGGCACACATATATGAGTTGCAAATAGGCAGAATTTAGTTAAATTTTTGTTTCAGTCCTGTTAGCTTGAACTCATTGCGTAACAAATACATTTTGAGACAGTAGATCACTTTGGCCATCCATCTGGCCATGTGATATGCTCTAGGAACATAGAAATGGTACTTGCCATCAGTCTGCATTTGATAACCAAGCACTAAGAGACAGAGTTCAACCAACTCATTGTAATCCTCTCGTGAGATGTATGAGCTGTCAGCTGAAAGAAAACATGTCAAAAATGGTACTATGTCAGACCGCATCATCTACAGGTGCAAGAGATTTCTATGGAGCAGTTTCTCGAGCAAAACACATGCTAATAATAATGCCTTTTAAAATAATTAATATCTATGTTTTGAATTAAGTAGGTAACCAACTTTTGATAACTTCTAGTTATACTTGTATTTGATTTCGAAATAATGAATTATTACATTTTTATATAATTTTGAGATGCATGAGCATTGAGCAGCCTCTAAATTTAATTTGATATGTCTTATTTTTGGTTTGTAAGTTTTTAGGACCCAACAGAAACTTTTCAGAGGGTGTGCACTCAAAGCAGAGAAAAATTTGTTTTCCCATTCAAATGTGAACCACCCTAATATATACATATATTTCCCATTGAAAGATTTCGTTAGTTTTCGTTTTCGTTAGTATTTTCGTTCGTTCGTATTTCGTTCGTTAGTATTTGTCTCAGTATTTTTGTGAAATAACCATCGACGGCTGTGTGCAAAATTTCCTAATGTACGATTCCGAACTAAAACTTTAACCCGGTCGTATTCTCGTTATTGCCACACAAGCTAGCTTGCCAATTCTGGCTCAATCAACCGAGTGGTTTGTCAACGGTACATTCAGCACAGTTCCGCAGTTGTTTGAACAACTATACTCTATTCATGTCGTCCATTCAAACTCAGTCATTCCATGTGTATATGCTCTTTTAGCAAATAAAATGCGTGACATATACGCCAAATGTTGCTCAAATTGAAGAACGTGCAACCTGGGTTAAGACCAACATGTCTGATGACTGACTTCAAGCCCCCTTGCAGGGCAGGTTTTTATTTATCAATGATTAGAAATAAAATTATCTTTTATAATTATATGATTTACAGGCATTTGGCATCAAATTGTTTTTTTACTTGTTTTTTGTTTCTTTGATTTTATTATTTAAAATAAATTATTTATTTCAGGCTGCACGTATGCGTGCTCAAACGGCAGCTTTAGCTGTTCCAGTACAATCCAGAACATCAATATCTAGGGGATGTTCTGGATTGTACTGGAACAGCTGAAGCTGCCGTTCGAGCACACATACGTGCAGCCTGGAATAAATGGCATCTCCTTGCCTCTATATTGATGCGGCGTGACATCCCACTACCACTACGATCAAGACTTTATAAATCTGTGATACGTCCGGTGTTGTTATATGCTGCAGACACACGGCCAATGACAACCAAACTGGAACAACAACTTCAACGAACCGACATGAAAATGCTCCGATGAGTGCAACGAATTAGTCTGAAGAACCACATCAAATCTACCGAAATCCTGCGTCGTGCTGGTTTAGATGATATAAAATACGAATGCCGGCAACACTGTCTGCGGTGGTTTGATCATGTCAAACGAAGTAGAAACAGTGCCATAACTTCTCTTGCAAATAAATGTTAAAGTACCTGGCACACGTCCCAAAGGCCGTCCAAAGAAGTCCTGGTCGCAAACAATCGAGCAAGATATGAAAGCTCTAAATTTAAATAAAATGGGTATAACTGATTGTCTAATTTGGCGCAAAAAGTTGATGGCAAAGAAAACAACGTCCTACCTCGGGGAACCGGGTCTCTGGACGCAAAACGAAGATTGATTGATTGATTTTGTTTCTTTGATTTATTTGCTTGTTTGTTTGCTTTTTTGGTTTGTTTGCTTATTTTTTTAATGTTTGTCTGTTAGACTGTGTGCTTGCTTGTTTGTTTTCAAGTTTATTTGCTGGTTTGTTCATTAGTTAGTTAGTTTGTTTCCTTGTTTGTTTTGTTTGTTCGTTTGTTTTTCGTTTTTTTCAAAAGCCATCACCCGATTGTAAACTTGTCCTTGTGATGCAAGAAATTATAAATAATATTAAACGTTATACTAAGGACATTAAAAATTGTTAAGGAGCATTATAAAACTTTTAAATTATTAATTGATTTAATGTATCAAATTTTAAAAATAACAATGATGTCAAAGTGAAGTGATTAGCAAGACAGACACAAAATATAAATAATAATGTTGCAAAAGCTTCCTTATTAACATCCATCTAAAATATCCTAATTACTATTTGTGATTCAGTCAAAAATATTAAAAACATAATAACGTTGGTAAAATGTGAGATAGGTCCTCCTATGGTATCCTCCATGTTTACAAACAATCATAATGTACTTTTAATAAATTAACTCCGCCCATTTTGAATTATCTAGCGCTTGATTATTTATTTATATCAAATTGAAAATAATTTAATACAAGTTAATTCTTAGGTAAGTTTTTTAGATCATTACTTGTCAAATATCAATGGCTTATGGAGTTGTTAACAGGGTTAGGGTTAGGGCCTCTATTTTTAACAAAATTTTCAATCATTTCACAAGTGATTGAAAATTTTAACCACTCCATATTTGTAAAATATTTAAAAATTTTGTTGAAAAGGGAGGCCCTAACCCTGTTAACCACTTCATAAGCCATTGATTGTTATCAAAACAGAAATTTACTCATATTTTAACATTTTTTTATTTAATGTTCACTATTTTCTAATGATCTAAAAAACTTATCTAAGAATTAACTTGTATTAAATTATTTTCAATTTGATATAAATAATCAACCGCTAGACAATTCAACACAGGCGGAGTCAATTTATTAAAAGTACATTGCGATAGTTTGTAAACATGGATGATACCATAGGAGTACCAATCTCACGTTTTACCATAACTTCAATGAGTAAACAATAAGACAGTAAACAAAAATCTTCTCATAATTTACTGTTTTCTTTTTTTAAGTCATTAATCTTCACATTTTCGACACTCATTTAAGCTATGCAATGTTTTGTTAAAAAGTTAAAATTTTTTAAAAACTAATATCTTATATAATTTTCAAAATAATAAATAAATTAATTTAACTATTTTTATTTCCCTTTCATTTTAATTAAAGCTATTTTTCATAGATTGATTCAATAATTTTTAACTTTATTTTATAACAATTAGAATTAATAATTTACAATTTTTAATTTTTAAAATTTTTAATCCAATAAAATTTCTTGTTGTAAGGACGTTTGTTAGCTTTTGTCTGGTCGAACTAGGAGACAATCGATACCGTGCATATATTAAAAATTAAATAAACAGAAACACATCTTCTTATCAATCTTATGTATTTGATAAGATAATAATAAGAGGAAACTGTCAAAACTAACAGAGCGAAGCAGGTCGTTGAACATTTTTATTTCTTTTTCAACATTATCTCTCTTGTCAATCAAATCATTTAAAGTTTGCTCCGTAGTAGAACTCATTTTTTTTCTTTATTTTAATTCAATTTTTAAAAGTGACTGGGCAATACTGCTAGCGATATTTAATCAAGCACATAGAACTAGATATTTAATGACAAAAACATAGAACTTGTTAAAGAATGTTAACAGCCGAGTCTTCGGTAAATACGTAAATACATACACTTAGCTTAGAATAATTAAACTGGCCCTCGAATGCACCCGCGCACATTTTCAGAGCGCTTCAGAGTTTGGTCACTTTATTTTCATGAACAATTACGTTTACGCTCACTTATCAATGTTTGTGTTTACCTGCGCAATCTTTATTCCTTTATGTAGTATTTGTATGAATTGAATGCACATCGCCCTTAATATACCTTAGTTAGTATAATAGTTGTGAGAAAAATGGAGTATGGGTCCCAGGGGCTGCATTGCATTGGTCAGCTGTGCAGCTATAAACCCCGGAAAATGCCCTCCTGACACAGGCTCTGTTCCTAAAGTCCAGCTGTTGGCGTCCTCTTTGCTCCTCATGGGTAATGCTAACAGCAGAAGGGGCGAAAGCGAGTTCTTGGCGTTAAACCAGATGACCCGGGTTGACAGCATCCGTTATCAAAATGCCTAGAAGGTTAACTCTAATTTCAAAACCCGGAGATGGCACACTCTGATAACAAAACCCGGGTGGAGAAAGCTCGAAGCGAGGGATAGCATATCCATGGATGACTAGAAAAAGGAAAACTCTGATCGCAAACCCGCGTTGAGACCACGCGTCAGGTGGCATTCATCATTTAGAATCAACCGGTAGGCCTCTGCAGTTGCAGTTTTCTCTAGTCGTCTTGGAGACTGTCTATGCCACTGGGTTGAGACGGCTGCAACAAAGTTTTTTGAACCGAAGGCTTTTGCGACATCCTTCCTCGTAAAAATTTTCCTGCGTCTGTTTGGCGCGCTATTACCGGTGACAGTAGACCTTTTAAAGATCTGCGACGAGGGTTACATAGTTGATAGAGGTAGATTCTAAACGGAATTTTTTAACGCAACGACCTCGCCATTTCAGTGGACAACACAACAGTATGAATGCAGAATTATTAATATATATAGTAATTTTTTTTATTTACCTAATCGATTATGTTGTTTATAATTATTTTTTCCTTTTTCATCACATTTTATATATTTATTTTATACTTATTTCACATTTTTTTATTGCTTTACATTACTATTTAGCCTATACTTATTTTACATTTTCAGCCCACCTGCTTACTGTCGCCTATATTTATTTCAAATTATTTTATTTTACTCCTACTAAACGCAACTTATACTTTTTTTATTCATAAATTTTATTTTCATCGTTTCATACTTTGCATGTTTTTACCATGGAATGAAATTCAATGATTTTTACTCTCTGTGTTTGACAAAATTTAATCTGCAGAATAAAAAAAGTTATTCTCCAAACTCATCAAGTTTTACATTTTTATAGTTAATTAATAATAATTTATTTATTTTTTAAATTTTACTCATTTTTATATTTTTTTAATTAATTTATTTTATGCATTTGAATAATATTTATGCATATTTGATGTCTTTTTTCTGGTCTCATAGTCAAGATGATTTGAGATCGTCGTGTTTGGCAGGCCTACCCCAGCCTAAATACCACGGCGTGTAATTAATTTTTTTAGAATTAAAAAGATTTATGGTCGCAAGCGTCATGCTTTTATAACAGCGTGTCGAAGTCGGGTTAAAAATATTCGACACAGACTCCGGTTCCTCACAAAGTTCCGATTGCGACTATAAGGATGAAAATTTTTGACTCCTACACCAAACTTCCAGGAAAAATTGTTAACTTTTGCATTATAATTTCACTTAAATATCACAACTAAATGAAAAAAGCTTTAAAATACACTTAAAAATCATAAATGTAACCGTTTTTAACATTTAGGTATGTTTCAAAATATACTGAGAAAATTGTGAAATTTTATTAACATTTTTATTTATTTTTTGTATATATTTATCTTCTAAAAAAACACAATCTCATAAAAATATTTTCAGAATAAAATTAAAAAAAAAAATTTAAATTCACAACACTTTCCCCAGTCGGTTGAAAATTATCCGACTCCGGTCCTTACAAAAAAATTAGGCTCCGTCAGTCTACTCCATGGAATTATATAACTGGAAGCACCCTACCAGCGTTTTAACATTGAAAATTTTTTTCAACGGGCAAGTTACATCTGGAAGCAAGTTTCTAAAAATTAATTATTCATGAGCATTTTGGTTTATTTTTAGAAAAATCTGAGATATAATTAGAAAAAATCTTGGCCTTCCCGAAGTTATGTTAATGACTCTTTGCCGATCTGCATTCAGTTCGTTAGTTAAAATTTATTTCGTTTTCAACATTCCGTGAAGTTTTAGGTTAATTTATGAGGTTTATATAACCACCGTATTTAATGTTTAATCGTTAAATGGATATTGCCATTTTTTGATGCATCAGAAAAATCGAAGATTTATAATAAGTTCGTTAGCCATCCTCATTTTCTGAAATAAAGATTTCTTCAT